TTTCAGTCATAGATTTGTGATTGGCGTCTGAGGAAGTAATTTCATTTTTATGATATCATAAAATTCTACACTATACTGTAAATCAAATCATTTAATTGCACCCTCATATGAAGGAGCACAAATAACTAAATACTTGTTTCTTGTTGCTTGTATAGTGCTTTTCCTTTCAGTTACAAATCGCTGTAAGTTTTCCCCTGGTCATTGGGTCCACATGCTTTTAAAGTGTTACTGCCATATTGGCACAGTAGCATGCAACCCCACCAGGTACCCATTTATACTCCTGTGGTGAGAGAAGCAATAAAGATAAGCGAAATGCACAGCAACACCCCCAACATCAAAGGTTAGGAAACCAAACACTTCCAGCTGCGCCAAATACTATTCAATAACACATTTCTGACAATCCCCACAAAAAATAACACTCACCGCATAAGGATTATAATCAGTTAAAAGAAATTAAATCTTACTTTAAAAATTTCTAGAAAAATGATTGAATTCAGTTAGTGAAATTAACTGCATGTCACCACTTTTGACACATTGGCTTTCACCTTTCATGGTTGCTGTTACAATCTTTTGCCGTTTTTGCAGATGCTACTGTACTTAAACCTTGAATGCTAATACAATCCAATTATGTAAAAAGCTAATCAAAGTTTATTCTTCTTGCATAAACTGAAGTCATTTAATGCTGGGATCTGCAGAGGACCAGAGAATTTATCCCTGAGCAATCCTCCAGGATGAATAATAAAAGAAAAAAAAAATGAAAAAGAAAATGTCAGTTCTGAAGTTTTTTTTTAAAGTGTGATTTTAAATGTTTTAGTTAGCAACTGTATTTTATGGTTTGGAATTTCAAGTAAACAAAACTGCAGTAAACTTCTCAGGATCTCGAATTCGGCCCGTAAAGTCATTGAATCGAAAGTTGACAGTTTTGGTGACATCTATAACAAATCTGTACTTAGAAAATTAGACATCATTGATAAGGATCTTACCCACTCCTTGCATCATGAATACACATCTAACAGATCTGGTCTTCTACGCCCTAAAAAGTGCAATACTAATAAAAAAAATTTCACTCACAACTCGGTATATATCTATAATGCTAAATTTGACCGATAATTTCCTATTGCAATACCTTTCTATTTTTTTTGTGCAGTTCACTCATCAAAACATGCCTCTTAATTTTTTTCCCGAAAGATCAACACTGTGATTTCATTGTGTATTTTCTGGGTTTTTTAAAAATAATTTGTAACGTGTATACATAAACCTGAAACATCTAATACTTTTCTTTCTGTTTTTATTCCCATAGGAAGTATTTCTTCCAATGCTGCTACTTATGAATCTAGCTACAATTCGTTTTTCTACTAAACCAGAAACTGAAGAAGGCATTCCATCATTCCCACAATTCAACTTGTTTTCCGAATATTTTACGCACACGCTTAAGAACCCCATCGGAGTTGCTGCCCCGAACTCTACAGAGCTGGATGCTCTACTGAAAATAGCTAGACATTCAAACGAATTGAATTTGACATTTTTAGTTTATGAGAATGAGACGTTCTTGCTTGAAGCTGAGTCGGCTGAAAACTCAAACCTTACTGGCCCAGCTATCGTGTTTACAGATAGTTTTCCCGATGATTTGAGTTATACGATACGAATGGACAGAAACGCAGTTCCGTCAACTGGTGACGAATTTACCAATGCTGGTACGTACGTGAGAATTATAGGAAGGTTTTAGTGCATGCCATAAAGTACTGTATGTATTGTAAGAGAATTAATTTGTTGACCTTTTTTTTATCATGTTAAATCTATTAGAAAAGTAATATTATATTATTTATTATAAACTTATATACCTTTATCTGTCTCTTATACACATCTAGATGTGTATAAGAGACAGACTATACTGAATTTGTGTGTGCAATTACACTTTATCTATTGTCAATCTATACTCAGTCCTCCTAATATAAATAAATATTTGGTCTAATCTAGTTGTTATATTCTAGTGTGGCAGAGCAAACAACACAACACAACAACTGATCAGATTGTACTCAATATAGAACACTCTGATCTGTAGTAAAGTCAACATAATTGGTTTCAGTCATAGATTTGTGATTGGCGTCTGTGGAAGTAATTTCATTTTTATGATATCATAAAATTTTACACTATACTGTAACCTTACTGGCCCAGCTATTGTGTTTACAGATAGTTTTCCCGATGATTTGAGTTATACGATACGAATGGACAGAAACGCAGTTCCGTCAACTGGTGACGAATTTACCAATGCTGGTACGTACGTGAGAATTATAGGAAGGTTTTAGTGCATGCCATAAAATACTGTATGTATTGTAAGAGAATTAATTTGTTGACCTTTTTTTTATCATGTTAAATCTATTAGAAAAGTAATATTATATTATTTATTATAAACTTTATATACCTTTATTATGTGATATTAAATTATGTCATAATATTAAAATATATAATATAATAAAAATGTTACATAATGATCATTATAAAATATATTAATTATATAATAGTATACAGTAAATGTATACAGTATGTCCGATAACCACAGATATCCTCCTACACCAACTTAAAGCTGTGTCCAATAACTTGTCAGCCTCTCCTGTTTGTCTGTCTGAGAATGGTCATGTTGATTTAATTGGCGTGGATTTGTAGTGCCATACACTATCTCCATGTGCATATGATAAATATTTATTTTTTCTGCAATTACTGTATTGATGCTAAAAGTGTGTATTGATGATGTAATAGTTTGTATTTACGCGATGTTCGTAGGCCTATAGTTTAGGAAGAAAGAGAGTATTTAGTTTGACCTATATGCACACACTGTTATGACTATTGAGTCTTGTCAACCGAAACCGTCATCAGTGACCAAAAAATGAAAATTGACTTTTTAATTCTTAATCTCCACATTGTGAACTTTAAAATGATGGGTCATTTTACTGGAATCGACTTACTATTGCCAAAGTTTTGAGTAAAAGTATTACAGCTTCTCTATGAAAGTATATAATACTGTCACATTCTATTGACTGTACTCAAGTTTAACAATTAGCAACACCACGTTGGTTTTTGAATGGCAAGCCTATGTGTATACTGTACAGCAGTCTTTTGTTTAAAATAAACTGGTGGTCTGGACAAAGCTAAATAAATAGGAGGTGGGTTAAATCAGTGATATACTGTACAGTGAGGAAATGGTTGTAGTGACAGAGGGAGGGGAGGACTCGTGGGATGTTAAATATTGTTTTGGGTAGGGTCAAATTTTGTTTTGGGTTGTTTTGTTCTTTTTCATATCCTGTCTAATCATTTGTCTTTAAGATACTGACACACCTTGGATATACAAAGTTTGCTTCTGTTATAAAAGTGTACCTCCAATGTTATTAATATTAACAGATAGGGTTAAATCTGACAGATAGGGTTAAATCTGACAGATAGGGTTAAATCTGTTACATGCTGTACAAGGAGGAAATGGTTTTAGTGGCAGAGGGAGGGGATGTTAAATATTATTTTGGGTAGTGTCAAGTTTTGTTTTGGGGTGTATTGTTGTTTTTCATATCCTGTCTAATCATCACACCTTGGATTTACAAAGTTTGTTGCTGTTGTAAAAGTGTACTTCCAAGTGTTATTAATATTATTATTTAATTAATTGTTAATATTATTTTATTAATTTAAATGTACACTGTCTGCCAAAAAAAAAAAATTCTGTATTTGTAATTTATTTATTTGATTTTCCTTCAGGAACTTGTCGGGATACATCGCAGGATAACTTGCCGCCAATGTAAATCTGACAGATATGGTTAAATCTTACATGCTGTACAGGGAGGAAATGGTTGTAGTGGCAGAGGGAGGGGATGTTAAATATTATTTTGGGTAGTGTCAAGTTTTGTTTTGGGTTTTATTGTTGCTTTTCATATCCTGTCTAATCATCACACCTTGGATTTACAAAGTTTGTTGCTGTTGTAAAAGTGTACTTCCAAGTGTTACTAATATTATTATTTAATTAATTGTTAATATTATTTTATTAATTTAAATGTACACTGTCTGCCAAAAAAAAAATCTGTATTTGTAATTTATTTATTTGATTTTCCTTCAGGAACTTGTCGGGATACATCGCAGGATAACTTTCCGCCAATGTATAACTGCCCCGCAGCGGGTTATCTTAGATCTGGTTTCTCCGCACTACAAGTCATCATAGACCATGCCATTATTTTAGTAAGTTTTCAAAAATAATTTTTATATCTAAGAAATACCATTCAGAAAATATATGAAAGTATAAGATAAGTATTAAATAATTTGAAGATATAGATATTACAGATACAGTCTAATTAGTTCTGTGATTGTCTAATCAGATGATTAAATAATACTGTACAGTTTACATTCATTGTATTTAGTTTATCATTGATTAAAATAGATTTACACACTTTTTTATAGTTGTTTTAATATAACTGTTACACAGTAATATCATCTAAATTTATTTCAAGTAATAATGGTTGTTTTATTTGTATTTTTGCTATCCTATTTCTATGGGTTTTTTTTTTATTGTTCATAATACAGTAGGTAATTCAGGCTGTTATGCTTGGATATGGATAATTTTAATCAGTGGCAATAAAGAATTAATGGATAAATGTTAATAATTGTGTTATGATTAATTTATCTATTTATTTTTTTTTTGTATATTGTTGTAGATGAAGACCAACAATACAATTAGTCAGGTACCACTTCCAGATGCTTATACAGAGATGTTCCCTAAAGGCGAATACCCTGGCTCACCAACGGCTCTGCAGACCACCACCGCTGTTTATTTTGTGTTAGCGTATTCTCCATTCGTCATCGTCTTACTTTCAAAGATTGTCGGAGAGAAGGAGAAGAAACTAACTCAGTCGTTGAAAATGATGGGAATGAGGACAGGACCATTTTGGTTTGTGAAATTTATTTTGAACTTTTTTTGCCTTTTCAGTGAACTATTGCGATGGGAGAGTGTATATATGGCAGGGCTCTGGAGCATGAGGGGAGCCCTGAGGGTTTTTGCACTTTCAAGAACAAAATAATGTGAGATAAGAAATAAAGTGCAGACATTTGTTATAACAGTTTTTAAAGATTCTGAATAAAAATGGAAATTGCTGTATCAAAATTTAACCATAATTAAACATGGGATAACTGCATGAATTTCAGTGTTGGAACAGGTCTTGACATGTTGACGCAAGGGTGGGGTCTCCCACATGGGTGGGGTCTCCCACATCTAAGAACTGACTACCTACTGGCTCAAGCCATTTCCAGACTATCAAATTTAATTTGACAAAACATGTGACATGCCTAAATATGGTCATGATGAGATCATATCATGACCATATATAGGTACATCATAACCATATATAGGCACATCATGACCATATATAGGCACATCATGACTAAATATGGGCATACAACAGTTTTTGTCTGGACAGAGCCATAGTTTTAATTTTATTTAGAACCAAGCCTATTTAAACATTTAGGCCCTTTAGATTAATTTATTTAATTCATAATTAAATAAGCCAAAACTTCCTCATCCCATCCCGCTTTAGTTTTTGTTTCATTTGCCTTGTATGAAAAATTTTTTGTCTTTTCTAAGCCCTCCTAATCATCAGTGTTTAAACAATAAATTGGTAAATTCATTTCCCTTGCATCAAATACCATCAAAATAATGATGAATTTACCATTTACATGCTTCATGGCCAATGGTATATGTAGGGGGTGCACTCTCTCCCAAAAAGCTTTCCCCCTCTCTCCCAAAAAGCTTTCCCCCAGTTTCAATGTCTTAAGCAAAAAAATTATGTTCCAATAGTTAAAAATCACCTCATATGAGGCATGTTGTGGCAAAATGGCTAAGTTGTAGCAAATATTGAAATTCAAGTTATTGGTATTTTCAGATAAATGAGTATGTGATCTTTAAAATGTGGGGTCATTCATAGAAATTGGACATTTCAAGCCTAAGTTATTGGAAAGTGAATGTACAGTAGTCTTAGAACCAAGATAAACAAAATTTTGAGTAATTGCCTTTCAAAGTTATTTGTGCATACATTGTTTAATAGAATGAACTATCAAAATAACATTAAATAAACAGTTTGTTGACCACTTGCAGAACTAATACTTTGGCACATGATTAATAAGACAATAAACTGTTGATCTATAGTGAAAAGCAAATTTGGATTTTTAGGCAATTTTTTGAACTCCCATATTTTAAAGCTCATTTACTCAATACTGGACTGTGCGACAACTTAACCATTTCGCCATGACATGCCTCATATAATCTTTATGCAACTTGTGCCCCCTCAATTAATCATTGAACCTCCCACTCCACCTTCGCTCCCCATCAGGTCGCCCCATTTTACGGGGCCTCCAATCCTGGATACATCCTTGTCCATGGCACCCTACCTTCTGCAGTAGAAGATCATAAAATTGTACTGTTTGTGTGATAAGCAGCAAATATGAAGGGGCATAGTGGTTTCTATTCTAACAAAATGTTTACTGTGTGTAGGACCGCTTGGTTTATCGTGTATGCTGTAATGATTGGCGTCATATCCATATTTGGAATCGGCTTTGCTAAAGCTATTCAAGTTTTTCCGAATGGAAATTTTTTCTTGCTGTGGCTCCTGCTAATGTTGTATGGAATTTCAAGTAAGTCGTAATTGTGTTTTTTTTTTCTTGTTTAAATTTATTTACAGTGGCATATCTAGGGGATGCACAGGGAGCATCACTTCTGTACTGCAACCTGTTCTGCTTGTTACACAGGAACAATGAGCCACATAAAATCAGTGCTATGTAGCATAATGTATACCAAACATCCATCTCTGATTAGGAATTTTCTGTCCAAATCAATTTCATTTCATTGATGTATTCAACCAAGTATAACTAGTTGAAGAGTCCCAACACAACAATAGTTGGACTATAACTCAAGAGTTGATTGCACCTAAAAACGTGAAGAATTGCACAGTATGGAAATTTTAATATCAAATAATAAAAATGATTTAAATGTTTGTTATGAATTATGTTACCAAAATATAAAATAAAATATTAAAAAAAAAATTATTTGTGAATTAAACAAAAACAAAATGCTTTTAATAATAATAATTTATATTATCTAATTCTAATAATAATAATAATTCATTATTTGTCCTAATTCTAACTGGAAATTGGATTCTTGGGCTGGGCCCCTTAGGACCCACGGCAGCTGCAATGCAGCCCCACCCAACTAAACTACTACATATAACGGACACATTTTCCCAAACCTGCCTGACTCTCAATATGAAGGTTATTGAACCATGATTGAACCAAGTGATCAGCCTCCTATTAAAACCCGATGCTGGCCAGGTTTGAACCTGCAAGAAACATGAATAATGTCTCTTAACTAGCTGCTCAGCTCATTAAAAGTTTATCTTATTAAGGAAGTTAAAAAAGTATTAATGTATTTTCTTTCAGTCGTCAACTTGGCCTTCATGCTGACGCCATTCTTCAACAAAGCGTTGACAGCAGGCGCATTTGGAGGCTTTTTGGCATTTTTCCTGGCTGTTGCTTATATTCCTCTCGGTCTTATTTCGGGGATACCGGCAGCGGTCAAATGGATATTGTGCCTGTTCTCACCAATTGCTGTTTCGCTTGCTTTAGACTCTGTAAGTTTGACAGTCAATTGCACTGTGGTCCAACTTATGCTAATGTATGTTAAAATGTGAACAGGACTGCAAAATAGAAAATTATTTTTGTAAAATGCAAGACCAATTATATAGAGTATTTTATGATAATGGTAATGGTTGGAGACTTATACAGTGGAAGCTGTAAGATGTATTTTCTGGGTGCGGGGGGGGGGCTAAGT